AGTGTTCCCTTAGTTTTGCCGGTGCTAGACTAAAATTGCTCAACTTGGCATTGCAAATCATGCAGTTAGGACGCTGACTCCCATCACGTTCCGTTATACATGTGAATCCATATTGTACATATTCGTCCGACCACTTTCTTTTTTTGCTCGACATAGTTAGAATGAAGGGATTAAAATATTAAGAAATCACACGACGTACCATCACGACAGTCACAAGTCGACTACCGAGCGCAGCAAATTCCCTGCAGCACAGATAGATCGAGCGATGTAGCGTGATCACTTGCAGCCAATGATGGCCAAGCCGGACGTGTCATCACGAATCATACGAGTCGGGTGTGTGTCTTAACCTCCGCCGAACCCCTGAGACTGACTCGCCGAACCCCTGGGGTTCGATCGAACCCAGGTTAAGAACCACTGCTCTAATCCCTCTCGCTCACCATTCTTAGCACTCCTACCCCATCCGTACACCTTCCACGGCCTACCTGTGCCACGCCCAGCCATGCGGCCTCTGGTGTTTTGGGGTGAATGTGCGGTTTGCTGTAAATGTTCGGTAGTTTTCGGTATTTTGAAGTTATTAGTAAGACCCCTCGCCACCGATGTGAGTCATCTATGTCTGGGAATTGCACTCAAGTCCCCCGAATGTTAGTGCCATAACCACTGTTAGTGCCATAACCACTGCACTATCAATAGTCGTAGGGATGTCAAAAAAGCCCAACACATTCTTCAATAGCACTGCTTTGACAGGATGCATATATACAACCTCTGTAATGCTGTCGTGGTAGTTCCTTTTTTTTCAAATTATTCAAACAAGCCAATGAACCGGAAAAGAATCCAGCCACAACAGCGCCAATGCCATACCTTGCATTTGTATACAGCACAAAGGTACTGTCGCATACAGTAAAGACAAGTGAAAGCGAAATTGCTGTAACGCGTTACGCAACGTAGATTGCCAATATCAAGCAGTCCATTAAGGTGTGCACAACGCAACCACGCAGTGCAGGTCGCCTTCAATCAACCACATGTGGCGCATATTACACTTGATATGCACGCGAAGGAGAACATGAATCGTCCTTTAAGTGCTCCACTTTAACTCGGGATTACGTGTCCTTTCGATGAAAACCTTTCATGAACATATTGCAAAGGAGAAATACTTTAGGTGCAAGTTCAGTTGATGGTTGTATAGCAGTCCTCTCAATCTCGGTGAAGGTGAGCACTCCCGAAATGTTGCTTTCGGTGCGAACAATGCCTGTGTTTTCATGAGTGTGACATTGGACATGTACATAAAAGCTTTCTGTTAAAAAAAAAGATTTCTGTTATATATAAAAAAACGCATTTTATTATTTGAAAGCCATCAATTTGCTGGAGCTGTAAGGACCGACATTGACAAGAAATCATTGGCCATTATCAAGGCCATTGGCATCGTACAAAAGGACACGGCTGGACACACATTACCCAGGGAGAAACGCGTCACCCTCTTCCATTGAAGGTCATGTGTTCAAAAATGAAGGCATGCGTGCTTATTCTATGCGGCGGGGTAGTGCATCGGTGATGTAGTGGATAACGAACCAGGGTCGTTTCTCAGGCACGGCTCATGCCCCCTTACTAAAACCCGCAATTATACCAGCGTAGTTGAAGTATGGTCAAACTGTGTCTACGGGCAACATGGCATTGGAAAGCTTGAATCCAGAATGAGGTTGACAAAACGGCTGAAAATTAACAATTATTCCTGTATTATCGAGTGAAAATGTGGAAAGTTTGAGTACCCATTGTTGCATTGCTATTTGTTTACAACCTTTAGTACATTCCTTCCAAGCAAACAGTTACATTTTTTGTGATCAAAAGAATAACTTTGACCTTGGACAAATGCTTTTGGAATTTAAGACGAGAACGTCAATTCAGGAAAGTGTAAAACGCTTGCAACATTCAGGGCCATGCTGTCCTAGAGGGAAGTGTATTTTTAAATTAACCTCCTGCCTTTCAATACGTAAATGAAATATTTCAACAAATCTGTAAACGACGAGAAATCTATCACAGTAACATTTCCAAAACGTTTCAACAACGCATAAACAGTGTGCATTATAGAATCCGCCGGTCTGTTACTCACGTTTGCTCAACTTAATTGATGGTGAATAAAGACAAGATGAGCAGTGCAATTATTCAGGAACGAGTGGCTTTCGATAATGCTTGAGAGATTTTTGTGCACACGGTGTAAGTTTTTTGTTTAAAAAGTTTCAATGAAAATTCTAAGAAACAACTCAAAATTATCACTACGCAGTTCTTGTGAACTGTGTTAACCGGTTGACACAATTGCGATTCATAATAGATTTTTGGGTCGGATCGGAAAAATAAAATGTGTTGTAAACCCTCCTCCACCGGACGCAGCCGATTAATGAAGTGAACAAACGTGCCAATTTGTTTTTGCGTTGGCAGACCGGTATGCTGCTGTTGTTGTTATTCGCCCTGCACTAATTTGTCTGTTGTGATTGGTTTTCATGTAATTTTCAGATTTGAAGAAATAACTTGGCTTCATTGAACCAAAGGTTACTCAAAGCAGTTGAACAACTTACAGTATTACAAAATGGAAGTTATTTCTCTGCAGTTGCCCATTCTGGGGCAGTGTGCTGTGATTATTCTGTTACCGATTGGCTTATTTCCACGCAAATGTATTTTCTGCGTTAAACATGCATTTATTCAAAGAAATATAAGACATTGGTATTATTCAGAGGATACGTTTTTTTCGAAGGACTGAGATTTGTTCTGTCGGCAATTGTTTTTCCAAGTAACATTAATTCAAATTTCCACTTATTCAAGTAAAAAAGTGACTTATACTTGGCAAAGTGGCCTTTTTATGCAGTCGAGATCATTATAGTAACAGATGATGCATGTTTCACGAGCGCAGGTTTGCATTAGATACCTATCTCAATGGACAACCATTAACTCAAAGTTATTCACTTCAGATACTGTCATTTGAAACATTCTACGCCTCTGACCAGGTTACGGTGAACCCAACCTCTTTAATATATCTTGAAGCTGAGCACTGAGGCTGATGTGATTGCATGGATCCCTGGTTTTGATCGACCGCGAAACTCATGGTGTCTACCTTAAACTGCATCCACACAAACCCTGGCGGATGCGGAAACCTGATGCACACATGTAAACTAAAAAATAAATATCTCCAGTGTGCGACTGTGGTCATCCGGAACAAACCGTACAACATATAACGACGCAATGCCCTATCCACAAATACGGAGACATAGCAGCGCTTACACTGCTGCTACTAACGCGGTTGTCTCGCTTAACCACCTAAATGTGAAATTGTAGTTGTTGCTCTCCATCTACATCCGCCATACGAAATAATGGGTAAAAACTAATGCTTGCAGTGTGGAAGATGCAGCGTTGCGAGGTGCCAGTGAGATGCAAGCACAGAAATGGGTGTTGTACATAGATGTGGTCCATTCGGTGGTCTCTGCAGGGCGTTAAGTGTTATCTTATTCTCTACATGGGTTTTCTCCGGGAACTCGTTTCCTTCCACATTCCAAACATCTATGAATGAAGAGGCCAAACATCCATCTTTGAAAGCCTCGGTTTAAATGGTTTTCCGAGGTAAATAATTGCCATTGTATTGTAAAGCCGTACCAATAGCAGCGAACCCAAAGCATGATGGCTCATAACCTCAGATTTTAACAATTACACCCCCATGATGCCCAGTGTTATCCTCTGTGCTTTGTATACATATTACACGTTGACATACAAATACAATTCTAGCCTGAGTCCCCAGTATTAAACGAAGCTTTTATCAGGTGATTCACTTCGACTTATTCTGCTGTACATGTCCCAAATCATAAGGAAAGGTTACGTTTTTGCCTTCCACAAATTAACTGCATTTTACTGCATTACTTTTATGCACACCCAGAGGAAATTAGTTTGAACGTTGAAAAGTCAATAAGGTAGATTTCTACTTTGGAAGACGACTCCGAGGCTATGCTCATACCAAGGCTGATTGCACCGGTATGCAGCATATCAACATCAAAAACACATGTAAAAATGCATTTCGTTTCCAGTTTTGCCCAAAAAACAAAGATCTGGGCATTAGTATTGGAGAACTTTACAGTAGCTTAATAGCGATTGGTCGGGCATTTTTTAAAATCCATTATATTAAGTTCGCTTGCTTGCGTGCTTGCTTGCTTACGACCGTGCAAATCTTTCGGTCGTTTTTTAACCCACTTCCCGTGATCCAATCGAGCTGACATTTTCCACACAGACTCGTTGTGAGACAATTAATGTTCGTGAAAAAAAAATTTGTTTTTCCAAAATTTGACACAGTTTAGGGAAAACAAATTAAATATTTAATTACCAATTGCTTAATACTGGCAGACAATCTGACCCATAGGTGGCAGCCATCTCAAGCCAGAGGACGAGAAGACTCTAGCCACCACGCATATAAAGGAATTTATAGTGAAAAACTTTGTTTTTACGGGTTTACTTGTTACAAAACTGTTTGCCCAACCAAACCACCCTGCCCCCCCCCCCACACTTAATTTCTGGTCCACCAGTCAATTAAGAAAATTTGTGAATCGTGCTCTGCAGACTTTTAACAGGAATTCAGAATCCCTTTAAGAGGCCAATTCATAATTACAATATTAACCAATTTCCCACGCGCAATACTTATTTGCATGTCATTTGTCAAGCTAATATGCTTTCTGGAGCTGGAATGTGGCCAAATGGTAACCAGTCTTGGACCATTAAATCCTGATGCTTAGATAACCAGGTTGTCAGTGACTGAAAGTCAAGATTGCAACCAACCCATTGAGTGTGGTGTCAGCCAAGTGCTGGCCTCTTATCCACGTCAAAAAACATTGGTGTCCAAGTAGTCATAGATGGTGCTATAGCTTACAACCACTGTAAAAACTACTAAAAAGCTACATCTTAACAGTGATTAGTGTCCTCACAGAGAACACGTAGCAATGCCCTTTCATATTCACTGGAAGCACATTCAAAGCTATTTTGTCAAATATTTATTTTAAGAAACCAATACATGAACTTGCTGTGACTGATTCTGCTAACATTTCAAAAAAATACACATTGGAAACAAATTAATTCTCTGAATAACAAGACTAAACTTCCAAAAAAACATAATTATTTAAGGCAGTTGACCACTACTGTAAAAATTAAATAAAACCACCACATTCATTTAAGGAAAATGTAACATTACTTTTCAGAAAAATGACAGCAGGGTTTCTCAAACTTTAGTTCTACCTCCCAAAAGTAAAATTTTAAACGTTTAGGTATTCCTCCCATTCAAATAGAAGCATGTTTAATTAATGCACACTATTCTGAAATTAGGAAATAGACTCCGAGACTGGGGGTTAAAAACAAGGAATGCGCAGGATTAATGGAGCGACATCACATTTGCAGTTTCTCCTGAAATCTCTGCGCACGCCGATTTATTCGCTGTCAAATTTGACAGAGTTGACGGCAGTCATGTTGATTTGCCCTCCCCTGTAGCTGCCTCGCTTCTTCTTTGTCTTCTCGTGTTTAAAGGACTTGCCCTTGGTCACTTTGAGGTCATGAAATGCCTTCTCACCCCAGTCGCCTTTAGCACCGGCCTGAATTCACAAGGGCAAAATAAAACAATTAGGTTGAAGGCCCTATGTTATACCCACACTGCATGCCCAATGCTAGTAGTACACAAGTTGTTAATGTGCACTGGAATAGTTGTCATGTTTATTTTGTTTAACCAGGTGAGAACGAGAGACCATGTTAGTCTCATTTGCAAAGGTTAACTGGGGCATTAGTATGCCAATAGGAGATTGATTGCTATACATATTCATAATTTAAGTCGTTTTTCGAATTGAAAAAATGTTGCACCAAGACAACACAATGGCTTAACTCTTGTGAATAACGTCCCGGGGTTCCTCTAACGTCCCATCTGACAGACGGTGCGAAGAACAACCACTAGGTCATGGATGCACTAACATTGTCAAGTTGGCCTGAGTAATTAAGACATTTGAATGGCTATACTTTTTACAAAACATTTTTTAGTTTAAACTGGCATTATACGAAACAGCTAGATGGGTGTGTGGTACAATAAAAAAAAAATGCGAGCCATTATAACGTGGGCAAGAGCAGTGGCACAGTGGCAATGCGCTGAGAACCCGGCGATCCAGTCACAGCTAACATCGGTGGCGAGTGATACCTGAACCGGTCCTCATCCACTTCACCAAGTTTCACTGACCAGTGTGGTTGTGTATAATCAACAACCACAGACACAGAAGTAGGCAAAGTGGTGAAAACTATTAAAGGAGTAGAATATGATTGGTAAAAGAGATTTGTAAATGACTGGGAAATGACTTTAATGGGCAGGTTTGTATAAGGTGCGGACCTTCGCGTCAAACGAGTTGTTGCTGAGACGTGGGTCAATCTCCACGTCGTCGTCATTCACACGCCTGAACGGAGTGTTGCCATTTGCCTTCTGCTGCACACACCACCAAAGCAAAACGCATGTCAGCTGATTGGCGAATAAAACTCAACCTTTACACATGTGAACAACGACTGCCACTCGCGGCCACTTAGCACACGCACAGGCGAAGAGCCATTGAAGCAGGGGCTAAACAGAAAGCGATCGATGCAACGCAGAGCTTAAATGTCCCCCGGCTATGATTGTGCACGTCATCTTGGCTTGCTGCGGTACATTGTGCAATATAAGATCCAAGATATTCGTATCGTTTGCTTTTCAAAATATCGATATATTGCGATTTTTTTTCTCATTTTACTTCTGACGGAGTATTTACAAAATTACAAACTCATTCGTTAAAGTTGTATATAAATATTCATTACATTAGTAATTTGCTAAATGTTTTCCAGAGTAGCTGAAAGCATGGTGATCATAAGTAAATTTCAGTCGATCTAATTATTTATTTATTGTGTGACTGACAGCATGTCCATTTTTAAATCCTTTATATTAAGTTCACTTGCGCGCTTGCTTGCTTACGACCGTGCAAATCTTTCGGTCGTTGTTTAACCCACTTCCCGTGATCCAATCGAGCTGACATTTTCCACAGACTCGTTGTGCGTGACAATTAATTTTCGTGAAAATGTTTTCTCCACTTTAGGACAAAAATATTATATTTAATTACCAATTGCTTAATGCTGGCATGCAATCATCTGACCCATAGGTGGCAGCCATCTCAAGCCAGAGGACGAGAGGACTCTAGCCGCCACGCATATAAAGGATTTATAGTGAAAAACTTTGTTTTTACGGGTTAATTTTTTATAGGTTGTAAACTAGCAATGATTAGAACATTATTGGCAGGCTGGTTGAGTGAATTGCAATTTAATTACATAAGTAATCTTAAACGATACCATTTAATGCAAAACAACCAATTTCTGGAAAACCGAGATTGTGATAATCGACATACGGTGAACTTTGATATCGTATCATGTTGTGAAACAACCGATTTCACGGCAATCCTAGCTAACAGCAGCCACCGATCAGACGCCCATTCTTCCGTCTCACTGCTGTGGGCCCCCAGGTGAAAGTGACACGGTCGGGTTTCTCAATCTCCAAAGGCCAAACAATCAAGCAGCTATGGACAAGTAACGAGTCGACACCTTTTTCGAAGCCTTGGGGACGGTCTGTGGTGTCTTCAGCTTCTCCTTTTTTAACGGGGTAGACATCGCATCCAACAAATTCTTTTCATCTGCGTCTTCTGAAGCAGAGATGCTATTTCGTTTCCTTTTTCCATTCACACTCCCTGCACATTTCACAGGGGACATTCACTTGTTCTCAACCACAGCAGCTTGAAATGAACACCCTTTAAAGAAGAATCTGTCGAGGCAAGACTATGCGAAGGATTTTGTAAGTGGTTAATTTTATTTCGTGAATAACACATGAAGGACATTACTTAGTGGTACAACTCAATTGTTAGTACTGCCACTATGCCCCCGGTGGTCTGTCACCCAACATCACGAACCCGCACAAACCAGTGTGGGTTGCAGGATGATGAAATTACCCACACAAACAACAGTATGGGGGAGGGCTCTCATGCAGCAGTGGATTCAAACAATCGGCTACACATGTACAGCTAAGGTGCGACATTGTTCATGCCGTATCTTGGAGGAACTGCTGCCCTTTTCCTTACCCGACAAAGTCTTGGCATTATCTGCCGCGACTGGCTTGGGAGTTCCCGCAGCCTTTGCTTTGTCATCTTCATCCTCCGACTGGTAAAAGTTTTCAAATTGTTACTCATTCAAAACCACACAAATAAGTCTCCTTCACCGATAATTCTCAGGTACGTATATGCAAAGTATTGGTTTAAACAAAAAAAAGTATACCTTTAAAAAAAGCTAAGGATTCAAGCCTGCTAACCAAAGGAGTCAACACATAAAGCTGCTTCACCATTCTTTAATTATGATAGTTCGAACAAAAACTCAAGTTATTTTTGGCAAGTAATTTCACTTGACAGCTGTCGGCTTAATTTCCTAACGCTCAAATGATTAAGGTGTTGTCATACACAGTTGTCTACAGATTTTGAGGGCTATGTATGACAACCATTTAACTTTTTACTTTTGGAAAAAATATATATATTTTGCGCACAAGGCAGTGGTGGTTATGGCACAGCCGGTCCTACATTTTATCGAACCTTGCCGCCACTCACCGAAGAGGAGCTGTCAGAGCTGCTGCCATCCGCCTTGGTGGTCTTGCTGGCTGGAGACTTCCCATTTGGCTTCGTCGCCACAGGAGTAGCAACAGGGGTACCCTTTACGGCCGACTTGCTATTTGCGGGACTTTTGTCCTCACTGCTTGAGCTGTCAGAGTCCGAGCTGCTCTCTTGCTTCTTGGCAGGAGCCACGTTGGGCTTTGCTGGGGTGGCCTGGGCCGAAACCGATGTATTCATGGAAGGTTTTACCTCTTTCTTCGATTTATTTTCATCTTCGTCACTGTCAGAGCTGTCGGAATCTGAGCTGCTTTCCTTCTTCTCAGTTACTGGCTTCTTTGCTGTAGCCGGTGATTTGGCTGGCTTTGTTGCAGAAGCGGAGATAGATTGTTCTGTGGGAGGAGTGACTTTCTTTGGCTCTGCCTCATCATCAGAACTATCTGAATCAGAACTGCTGTCTTTCTTGTCAGCTGCAGGAGTCTGCACAGCATTCTTTTTTGGAGTTTTTTTCTCCACTACAGAGTTAACAGCTGGCGTTGTTGCAGCTTTTTTTTTGGTCTTCTTTTCACTGCTTGAACTCAACTTGCCTTTCTTTGCAGGAGTCGTCGCAGACTTTGCAGTCTTTTTCACGGGAGCTTTCTTCTCTGCCTTTGATCCTGGTGTAGTCGTCTTTTTTGGCTCCTCGTCACTGTCAGAACTGTCGTCGGAATCGGAGCTGCTGTCTTTCTTGGCTGCTGCACTTTTTGCTGCAGGTGGTGCCTTCGCTGCTGCTGGTGTCTTTGCTGCTTTTGAAGGAGTGTTTTTCTCCGCTACCGCTTTTGTTGCTGGAGTGGCCACTTTCTTAGGTTCCTCATCACTGTCAGAACTATCGTCGGAATCAGAGCTGCTGTCTTTCTTGGCTGCTGGGCTTTTCGCTGCAAGTGGTGTCTTCACTGCTGCTGGTGTCTTTGCTGCTTTTGAAGGATTGTTTTTCTCCGCTACCGCTTTTGTTGCTGGAGTGGCCACTTTCTTAGGTTCCTCATCACTGTCAGAACTATCGTCAGAATCGGAGCTGCTCTCTTTCTTGGCTGCTGGGCTTTTCGCTGCAGGTGGTGTCGTCGCTGCTGCTGGTTTCTTTGCTGCGTTTGAAGGTGTGTTTTTCTCCGCTACCGCTTTTGTTGCCGGAGTGGCCGGTTTCTTTGGCGCCTCGTCACTGTCGGAACTATCGTCAGAATCAGAGCTGCTCTCTTTCTTGGCTGCTGGGCTTTTCGCTGCAGGTGCGGTCTTTGCTACTGCTGGTGTCTTTGCTGCTTTTGAAGGCGTGTTTTTCTCCGCTACCGCTTTTGTTGCTGGAGTGGCCAGTTTCTTTGGCTCCTCGTCACTGTCGGAACTATCGTCGGAATCAGAGCTGCTGTCTTTCTTGGCTGCTGGGCTTTTCGCTGCAGGTGGTGTCTTCGATGCTGCTGGTGTTTTTGGTGCTTTTGAAGGCGTGTTTTTCACAGCTACCGCTTTTGTTGCTGGAGTGGCCGGTTTCTTTGACCCCTCGTCACTGTCAGAACTATCGTCGGAATCAGAGCTGCTGTCTTTCTTGGCGGCTGGACTTTTTGCTGCAGGTAGTGTCTTCGTTGCTGCTGGTGTCTTTGCTTTTGAAGGCGTGTTTTTCACAGCTACCGCTTTTGTTGCTGGAGTGGCCGGTTTCTTTGGCTCCTCGTCACTGTCGGAACTATCATCGGAATCAGAGCTGCCCTCTTTCTTGGCTGCTGGGCTTTTCGCTGCAGGTGCGGTCTTTGCTGCAGCTGGAGTTTTTGCTGCTGGTTTTTTCACAGTCGGCGTTGAGGCAGGGGTTGTGGTCTTTTTTTTCGGCTCCTCATCACTACTGGAGCTATCAGAAGAATCGCTGCTGCTGGCTTTGACTGCACTGGCAGGGCCCACTACCTCTGCCTTAGCTGGGGGAGGTTTGGGGGTTGTAACAGCTGCAGGTTTTTTGGCCTTCTCATCTTCTTCGTCACTGCTGGAGCTGTCCGAACTACTGCTCTGGGGTTTTGTTTTTGTTGTTTTCTGTGGCGTTTTTTTGTTTTCATTCGATGCTTTTGCTACTGGAGTTGCTGCAGCTTTTTTCTTCTGAGACTTAGCAACGACATCTTTTTTTTCAGGGCATTTTGCTTTAGCTGGGGTTTTTTTTGCTTTCTTGGTCACCTTTTTGACGGTTTTCTTTTTTTCATCGGGCTCGTCGCTTTCTTCGTCAGAGCTCGAATCGCTCTTCGCCGCCTTCGCCGGAGTCACTTTCACTGCTGCGGTGGCCGGTGCCACGCCAGCTGTGGGAGATTTATTTTTCTTTTCATCATCGGAGCTGCTGGAATCTAAAAATGAAAATATACCACGTAATGCACTGCTGTCATTGAGGTTAATCATTCCATACTTGCGTCGAATAAAATAATCCTAAATTTATATGAGTAAAACGCATTGATCTATATATATTTTTTTTCATGGATGAATCAGCCACTAGATAACAGCAGCAGAGTTATTTTTGTCCCAACGATAAAGTAAATTTCAAGTAAATGCACATGGTGCAAACATAAGCGTGTCCGCTTAAATGTAAAGCATGTTATTAAAATTATGCTGAATTCCAAAATATATTAAACCCTGATTTATAACAACATGAGCACATTGAGGCAGTGGCTTTTGCAAAGCAGGCATTACCAAACCCATTGGCACCACACCTTGCATAACAACAAGTATTGCATAAAAATAATTTTTTTTTTGTTTCAAAATTACAGAAAAGCAATATAGATTTAACATTTCTGAATGTCGAATATATAAAAATATTGTTATTCTCAATTTAACTCACTGAGAGTTTGTTATTACATAAGCAACCTTTTATTGGGATAAAACCTCACTTTTGTCTAGAACACTGCCATAAAAGGAAAAATATATAGTCGGTGTTTTGGGCAAATGACTTTCTTCATAGCACAAAGAAGCCATGGAGAAAGTGGATAATTCGATTCCAAGACTGCACTATACATTATTGGGCCCGATCCAAAATATTTTTACAATACATCTTCAATAACAATTTTTTAATTGGCATATGAAACACTACCTATGATTAGATAAGAGTAATAGACAAACGCTTAAAATAATGAAAAAAGTATACATGAACCGTAAAAAAAAGTACTGGACATTCACAAAATGTTCCTAGTACATTGCATTTTGGGGCAACCCTGTTGCAAGTGTGGCCAATAAAACAAGCATAACCGTAATCCACGTGATGACTAATGGGGCTATCATTTCAATTACATTAAAGAGGATCTCAGCAAAGGTGTTTCTTTTGTTGGTAAAGGTTATCAAGTTGTTTTCGTCTAAGTGTACATTCAGAATACAAGGCACAAATATTGAACAATTTTTCCCTCAAATCAAGAACCATTTTTGCCCAATTGGACCCATCTTTCATTCCAAGAGTTACGTACAATGGACATGTCAATACTTTACGATTGAAAGCAATTCACTGCAAGAACTGTTGGCTGCAAGAACTGTTGGCAACAAAAACATGCCGCACAAAGAGGTTTTGAGAAAAAAATTCTGGAGATAAAATTACAAGGCACTTACCGGAGTCACTATCCGAACTGGACGAAGAGGCCTTTCCCTTGGCAGAAGAGGCGGGGGGTGGTGGTGCCTTGGAGGCCGGAGTTGCACTCGAAGACTTGTTTAATACAGAGGGAGGAGGCACTGCGCTATAGGCTCCTGTGTCAAATTCGAAAAACAATAAACACAAGATTGTGGTAAAAGACAACCTAGTTTTTCAAATAAATAAGACAATTCTCCCCCGTCCTAATGCGGCGTATGAAAGCCTTGCTCTAACAGCACATACACAATGTGTTTCTCACCCAAACATGGGGAGGCAATCAATCTCCTGTTTAGGCATAAACCAAGGGTGAAAATTGGACTACGCACAGCCAATAGCCTACTTATTGCTATCCCGGGAAATGTTGCCTCCGTCCACCCAAGAAAGCCACGTTTTAAAAGACAATAACAATATATATACAAGCCAATCACTTCAAAAATTACCACAGATTAGCAATAATGGCAACACTTTACACCAATTAAAAACAAATTATTGAACCTATTATTGCGAACAGATCCAAAATCTATAAATTGACAAAATAAGCATACATTTGTAAAATGAAGTATTATGCTGTGTACCAGTGCGGTAATTGTGTGGATGTTAAATATGCGAAGCTATAGGTTGAACTTTGCACGCTCATGTCCATTGGTATCGGTTTTCAAACACACCTCAGAAAATAGCCTCAAATTGGACTTTTTACAGCTTGTTTTAAGTGATAAAAAATCAAACCATTCATGTGGATGTGGCACAAAATTCCATAGGACCACTACTCTATAAACTTAAGCAATCATTTTATTGCCGTTTACCTAACATCACATATGTCTTTACAGCTACAACTGTTTTCACAGATTAAACCCATCCAATTCGCTCCTGAAGTGCTGTTTTGATGTCTGTTATGTACGACTGCACAAAACAAAAATCCCCTGTGCAGCCTTGAGAATATGCTGGGGCACGTTGCGTGCCGTTAACGAGTATCTATGAAGGTTGGCATGGTGCACAAGGAGGGCCCCCCCACCACAAGACTCTCCAGAATTTATTTTTAAAAATCGCACTGTGCACACGTCAGGCAGGCTGCGTCGACCAAGGCGAGGCCCAGGATTGGTTCAGATATTCACCCCCAAATTTTTCCCAGCGTGCCAGCCACAACCCTACCGTTTCCCTCGTGCAACTACACCAACACACAGACATCCACGTACACATGCACACACCAGATTTTGCTTGTTTCTTTGCTGCTGGCTTCTCGTCTTCAGAGTCGTCCGAACTGTCGCTGCTTGAAACGTCTTTCTGCTTTGGCGCGCCGTTACCTTTGACAAGAGGTGCTGCTTCTTTCTTAACAGCCATACCATTGCTCGGTTTTCCATCTATCGAACAGAGAAATGGTTGCATTTCATTAAAATAATGCTCTACACTCAAACTTCGCCCATCGCAGGTTTCATCACAGAATTGACCAAATTTACAGAGGACTAGATCGCCTATCGCACCCCTGTGGCTCGACTATTGACAGCTAAATCCTTGTACACATTGTAAAGAAGTACTGTACTCTTGAGTGAAATCTACTCGCGATGATGCTGCCTTGGAAGAATACACGCGATCACCATCCATGCTAAGTAAATGTTTTTAGTTTTTTTTCAAGCTGCACAATATTTACTGTACATGTCAGTACCCTAACCGTTATTTACAGGTTTACTTTGATGTATACGTGTACAGTAATGTACACGACATTTTTCTATTTTTAAGAACTTACCCCCGCGATAGGCAAGGTTTTGGTGTATTGTCTATTAGGGTGTGTGCAACCAGAGCAAAATGTGTGCATTGTGTAGGCAACAAAAGGGACATATGTACAACTTAAATAAAAAATAAAACCGCAAGCCAGTGCATAAGACGTAAATGTCAGTAAAATACATATCATTCAAGCACAATTATAAAATAAACCTATTAAAATAGGCTTTGACAAAAATACAGCATTTTATGACTACCAAACATTGTAAATGATTTCTTCAAACAATAGGCTGGGGTTAAAAAGCAATCGCTTCAATAACAATAGCTATATTTACCATGGGCAAAATCCACTTTAGTTGCCAATCAATCAAAGAAACATACTTCTTGTCTGAGACAGCAACACCACTCCATATAAATTGCACAATTTTTCCCCTGAGGAATATGTTGGTCTCCACAAATCTGTCAACAGGAATATCTTAAGACTAGTCGGTCGCCAGACTGCAAGGGCATATTTTTAAATCCTTTATATTAAGTTCGCTTGCTTGCTTAGGACCGTGCAAATCTTTCGGTCGTTTTTTAACCCACTTCCCGTGATCCAATCGAGCTGACATTTTCCACACAGACTCATTGTGCGTGACAATTAATGTTCGTGAAATTTTTTTTCCAAAATGTTACACTTTTTAGGACAAAAATATTATATTTATTTACCAATTGCTTAATGGTGCAATGCAATCATCTGACCCATAGGTGGCAGCCATCTCAAGCCAGAGGACGAGAGGACTCGAGCCGCCACGCATATAAAGGATTTATAGTGAAAAACTTTGTTTTTACGGGTTATACTTATTGGGTTGTCTATTATGCATCAGCTGTGGAATCTAGCTGATAGAAAGCAAAGTGTAGTGGTGGCCATGATGACATCAATCTTGTTGCCACTTTTTCTGACATACATTGGCACTCGAGGCAGATGAACGTATGTATCTTGAACTTCTTTTGCACCGTATGCAGGGCAGGACAACTAAACACGAAAAACAGTTCTCAAGAAATTAAACACGCTGGTCACCACCACATCCTATTAAAGTCCACAAACCTTTGGCACCACTGGCTGTCGCTGGTTTTTCATCCTCTGTGTCGGAGCTCTCCGACGAGCTGGAGGGATCGGCAGTGCGTTGTCGCTTGCTGGCAGTCGGCTGCTCCGTCATAACGGACTGCGCCTTTCTCTTGCGCGACTCGGGTGACCTGTGAACAAGTGACGCGACCGTCAGGAACAATCATTCTGCGCCCACAGAGTACAATTTCACATCATGGGTAGAAACACCGCAGTTGTGATTCATTATGCGAGTTAAAAACACAATAATATAGCTATACTCTTTGGTTCTTTTGGTAAAGTCACGTAGGTATAAAATAAAAAAAATAAAAAGAATAAAAAAAATAAAAAGAATAAAAAATCACGACGTTTCGGAAGCAGTACAAGCTTCCGTCATCAGGTGGGACAACCACAGTAAGAAAAAAATTAGTGTAGTGGGCAAGAGTCGCTCGTAACAAGATATTATATAAGGCAAGAGGGGGGAGGAGCCAGGGAGGAGATGCAGGGGGGGTAGGGGGGGGCTACAACCACTGCATTGCCAACGCCAAAGTAATTTCGTTATTACCTTGTTAATAACATCCTTTCAGTGGACTGTGCTAACAAAAATATAGCTGTGTGCAAGGAAATACTATGACAAGACAGAAATCCAGGTTAGAAAATACAGAGGACAAGAATCTAGAATTGAGCTTGAACAAAGCAGTGATACTGGTGAAATACCAAAAACCAGGTGGTAAAGGATCTAAAATAGAATATTTAACAAAGCAGTAATATTGGCGAGAAAAAGAAATCAGTTGTGTTAATTTAATTGAGCCATCATCGCTCATCAAGTGGTGGTAGGGGTAGCTTTTGCTCTTAGTGTATGGGCCTGGACAAGGGAAACTTAAGTGTAAACACTTGTATATGGTAAATTGAAGTTAAATGTGAAAAATCTAAAATTGTCTCCATGAAGAAAACGGTACCACTAGCGTCGTACCACATTAAGTGACACCAGTTTCTGCCGTGACCAATTAACTACATGTCCCTCTCGGGCAAGTTTGCCCAACTTATTGCACGCAGGCCGAGTTTGACTTGGGATCACTATCTTGGCATTGAAAATGACCCACCCATGGGCTTTTAAATTTCAATATTGAAGTAAACCTTTCAGAAGACTGAATGTATTTAGTAAACAACCTTACGTCTCTGCAGTGATAAGTATAGAGAGAGGTATGTGGGGGCGATAGCCTCAGAAATGACAGCAGCTTCCGTAAGTGATTGACCCTTTATTTTTACACACACTTGTCACATCGACCGATTACATATTACTCATATCTAGGTTTTGCATACGCCAACCATATTATTTATGTGAATTTGTTTCCAATATCTCTATTTTAAAAAATATACTTTACATTTATTTTTAAGACATCTGCTAACTAAATTGCCTGTGGTTCGCCGTTTCTGCATATTAGTCAATACTCTACACAAAAAGCATACACCCCTGCTCTGGGACCTAGCTTTCCTCTTAAGTCACTGTAAAATACCCCTTCTATGTAACCTGTTATTAACTACATTAACTTCATATATCTTCAATCAGGTGGGGGATACTAAAACCCACGGGCCAACTACACCTGACAAGGCCTTTGGCCACACTAGGTCTTTCAATTTGAAACGGCATATACACGATTCTTATCCATCCATGAAAACACCTTAGCCACTGCACTAATCGGGTATTAGAAAGTTGTATTTTCCAAGTGTGTTTCTAATATTAGCGCACTCACGCGTCACTGCAAAACAGAAGTGAGAGGGCATGTGTTGCCGTGTGGTCACGTGTGGCCCACCATAGGTATTTTGATTTAAATTGGTCCTCAATTTTGGAAAAGGATAACTAAACTAGGTTACATGGACTGTGCAATGCACACATGCAGTTAGGACACAAATTAAGGGTAAGTTACTTACTTGACCCACACATTGTACACATCCAACAGCTTGGGCCCATCAGGGTCTGGCACCTTCTGTAAGATAAAGGAAAAATAAATCACACAAGGTACTGCCATTGCATCAATATTCAAGAGCATTTTTACAACTTAATTGAGTACATTGAAATTATAATTAATGTCATTTACTTACGGATTAAACAATTACAACTATTTGAACAAAGGTCTTATTGTCCGCTAAAGACCCACTAGAATTGACCTTTAGTCAATTTGGGCCGAAACTTCAAATCTAGAATCAAGTGAACTCTATCAAATGCGTAAATGCCTCACCACCGTCTTATAACCGATAAAGTGTGGTAATCTTCACCGCATTTGGCATGAAATTGTTGAAACGAGGTAATGGTAATTGCGCCAATAGCCATTTAACGACTGTAAAAAAATCACGGTCTGGTGCCATACTGACGCGCTTGACCATAACGGTAAATCTAGAATCATAACCGTTAGTCTTTTTTTATATCACCAGGCTGCAAACTAAGCAGGGCATAGTACGGAGACTCGCATCTCTCGCTTTTCATCACTCGTGCCGAAAGGCGGAACACTAAGAAACATTGCACGTGCAATTACCACCGACATATGAAACGTCAAAGCCACTTAAAATTTTACTATTTAACGCCAATTTCTACGAGGGCCCAGTCAAGCAGGCCTCGGCGACCACGTGTCTCCATCGCTGCAAACCACCACCACCACCCTCACGCTCCGTATCACCGCCCAGGGGCCCACCACTTTGGCTTTCTTCACGAACTCCGCGGCCGCCTTCACGAATTTGTTCTCCAGCAAGAAGCTGTAGACGAAGGGGAAAAGGTCGCTGGGCAGGCCGCTGCCACTGCTACTGCCGCTCGCCATGTCTCCGTCTCCGTGAGCAACGTGGTGAGAGCCTCACCCTCCCTGAACTTGTGGTAAATGACGTCACATGGATGGGTGACGTCATGTTGTGCAGTTCGGTGCTCGGCCCACGCCCCCACCCCGCCCCCCCCGCCCCCCACCCCGCCCCCACCCCGCCCCTTGTCTCTTGATTTCCAAACTGGTTCCACAAATTCTAGATTTGAAGTTTCGTGACTGCAAGGATTCATACTCTTAGGTTTTTTTGGTAAAGTCACGTAGGTAAAAAATAAAAAAAATAAAATTAAAAAATATATCGAAATAAAATAATATTACATGAAAATAAATCAATTAAATCACGACGTTTCGGAGGCAACACAAGTCTCCGTCTTCAGGTGGGACCGTCACAGCAACATTTACTGTATCAAGTGACAAGCTCTTAAATACAAGTTAAGGGGAGGGGGGAGGAGCCACATTTAGATAAGCTCCTCCCCCCTCCCCTTAACCAGTATTTAAGATCTTGTCTCTTGGATTTCTCTTCACTTGATACAGTAAATGTATAGCTGTGACGGTCCCACCTGAAGACGGAGACTTGTGTTGCCTCCGAAACGTCGTGATTTAATTGAGTTATTTTCATTTATTATTTTTGTATTTCTATTATTATTTTGGTTACACAAATCTTGACTTAAAGCTTTCGTGACTGCAGGAATTCATATTCTTTGGGTCTTTCGGCAAAGCCACGTAGATAGAAAAAAATAACAAAAATCTAAATCACAACGTTTCGATCTGAGGCAGGCTGTTTATAAAAGTTTAGAGATGGACAGGGCAGCTAATGTTAATGTAGGAGCAAGGAGGAGAGAGAAATTTGCATGTAAATGTAAGCTCGGCTAGGGCCCGGACGATTCAGTGGCAAGCCGCCAATTAGTAATACACCTAAAGGTTGGCTGTGTTTGTGAATGTAACTCAGAGAGTCAAAAATAACTGCTAACATCGGTAGGTAGGATAGGAACATCACAGCCAGTTATGACCGAAACTGGTTAATAACGTCCTTCCAATGATTGCTCAGTTCTGTACCCATCTTCTCGGTTGAAATTGTGTTTGTTTATATATCTGGATGGCTTCATGAACGAATCTTTGCTGGTAGCCAGTGGGTTTTTAGAGTACCTTTGTCTTGGCAAAATAAATGCAATGTGTGCCCACCGCGTTAAAATAATGATCAGCCACGGCTGAGGTATTGGTCCTACCGTGTTTCAGATCTGCCTTATGTTCACAAACACGGTCCGAGACATGTCGCTTAGTTTCCCCAATGTAACTGCTGCCGCAGACACAACTTAGTTTGTAGACGCCGGGGTATTGCATGTCAGGGATCACATCCTTCACAGATGAGATCAAATCACGAATTTTACGTACTCTGTTGAACCGTACCTGGATCTTGTGTTTGCTCATGATTTTGGAAATCTTTTTTGTGACCCCTGCTATGAATGGCAAGGTGATGGTTTTGATTGGGTCCTCAGATGGTTCTTTCCCAACGGTTGGGGTGATAGCTTTATGGATTGTGGAGTCTGAATATCCATTCTTCTTACACAAAACACGTAGCAGGTTTTCTGGACCAATATCCATAAGAGGTTTTTTTTGGGTTAGATCGCGTAAATATATCTAAATGTGTCGTTAAAAAACTCGCCACCACCCGACACAGCCAACTAGTAAGGGTTTTCACGTAAACAGAACGTGGACAATTCGTTACTAGTACAGCACGCCGGTGTGTTGGAGAGCCAAGCTACAACATTTACAATATCAGTACGACGTTTCGCCAGTAATTACAACTAGCTTCATCAGGCGTAGATGTTCAAAGTTCAAAGTTAATTTATTAGATATAGCCTTGTGAGCCATTCGGCTCTTGAATCGGGTGCAACCGCAACAAAAAAAAACAAAAACATGAACAAGAAAACATCTTAAAGTGACTGTGCAAACAGAAAATCCAAGAAAAGACAGCAAAATATTGCAGAAAAAAATCACCGTACACCAACCCTGTGAAAATATCCCAGTGGGATGCAAGTCAAACAACAACAACAACCACAAGACAGATGTGGTGACCACACTTCTGTGCTCGTGGTGACCACACTTCTGTGCGTTGCTATTGCACGTTGCTGGAGTAGAAAGTATTTGTGGGTTGAAACTCCAACCTGCACCTATACCTAACATTTGGATCTGATGCCTCTTACTCTCACACCATGTCTGCACTGTTTTTCAATTCGCGTGTGTTTTTTTTACGAATAAATACCTCGTTTGTTACTGGTGCAATACCCCTTAAGGCCCTGTACTCGTGCTCTGCAATGTTTATGTTTTTGTCCCTAGTTTGGGTTAACTACCTCGCCTCGAATACAAAAGGTCGTGGGTTCGATCCTGACCCCGAAGCCTGTTGTATATTCGGCAATTGCATGTCTCTCTCTCCCCATGGTCGCGGGGATTTTTCTCTGGATCCTCCGGTTTTTCTCTCCACGTTTAAAGTCGGCATCACACGTTTGGAGTATTTGGGTGCTATAAATTTCCACGTGATGATGATGATAAGCCACTTCGTTGAACTATCATTAGTGGCCAGGTAGCTTCTGAAAAAGAGCAATACAGCTTCAGTGGGCCCTTAGCTTGCACAAATAAAAAAATAGTTTAGTTTAAAACCCCATAACTCCAAATGCACCGAACATATTAATGTCGTAATAACCGCAATGCACTGAACATTAAGAGTGACCTTGGTTCTTTCGGTTAAGTCACGTAGAATGGAAATAATAAAATAATAAACATAATAATGTATTATGTTTTATTTTTATTATTTTACTATTTCCATTCTACGTGATTTTATCGAAAGAACCAAGAAGATGAATCCCTGCAGTCACGAAAGCTTTAAATCGAAAATTAAGAGTGACGTCATTACACCAATTCACTGAACATTGAAAGTGACGTCATCACACCAGTTAAATGACGCAATCACCGATGTTACTCGATGTTTGGGAGGCCCGGCGACGTCATCGGTTGTAGCGCGCCGGTGACGTCATCCCGCGAGGTCGTGGGTAAAGGGGCAATCTTCCCGTGATATCGATTCGCGTAGCTTATTACATTCTCGTGTATCCGATTCCCAAGCGCAACGATACGCAAACGATGCAAAGTACGCACACGTTGCACGCTGGCGCTTTTTTCCCTTAAAGTAAACGCTGGAAATTAACGACTGCGCGACGGCAATTAGGTTTAAAAAGCGAACGAGGCACCAAACGAAAGTAATCGGAACCGTGTCTGCGAATCGAATCGATTATCAGCGAATCGCGACGAATCGAATCGCGCGCGTGCGGCACAGTTGGTGTTACAGTGAAAGCGATTCGCTGTGAACTTCGGGCCCGCAGCCTGTGCCGTTCGTTATTGTTCATTATCATTCGCAATTACTTAACAATTATCGATTATTACGACTCTCGCTGATCAACAAGGCCTGTTTGACGACGTTCGTTGCGTTGGTGGTTTATACACATTTAACGGGAGCAAATCTCGAGGAAGGTTCCAACACGCAGCCCGCTGCTGTGTCACTCGATATCACAACAATCAATAATTACTATATCGATTTAATTGCCCATAATTAGGCAATGGAGGGCGAGCCGAGGATGACCCCGCTGTACGACCAGGCGCTGCTGGGCGTGCTGCAGCACGAGGAGAACATCGAGGCGTTCCTGGACGTCATCTTCGGCTTTCTCTACCGCCGCACCGACTTCTATCGCCTCATGCTGACCCAGGGCGACCGCCTCGGATTCCCGCCCGGCGTGGCCGAACGCATCGCCCAGCGGGTCCTGGTCGCATCCTCCTCCTCCCTCCTCCTCCCTTCTCTCTTCCCTTCTCTCTCTTTCTCTCTCCGAGCTTTGTGAACGTACCATTGTCTTAGACGCTGTCGCCTCGACAGACCCTGGGGTTCACCTGAGGACGGACGGCTGCTTGCGTTGTGGCCGAAACGTCGTGAGAATTATTCCATTATGATTTATTTTTATTATTTTATTACTTCCCTTTCTACGTGACTTTACCGAAAGAACCAAGTAGACGTACCATTGTTGTATTGCATTGGGGGGCTGCTGCTCTGTTTGTGTTGTCTCCGTGTACAGTGCACTGCAGGTACTGGCCTATTTTGTGCTCGCTTGAGTCAAGTTCAAGTTCATTTGTTAGGTAAAGCCCTATGAGATCTCCTTTACCAGTGGTAAAGTACAGTAATAGGATAATTGGTTCTTTACCCTTCTATCTGGCAACAAAACTGACACCTTTTTGCAAGGAGTCATGTTTGCATAGACCGCAATACCTGCAGTCATAATACAAACAAAAGAACATAACTCTGATAATGTGTAGATGCTTGCCCCGAGCTCTCATACTCTGATGGTGCATTGTCCTTGAGTTGTGCGCCTTTTGGCGTCATCTGGTCCAACCCATATGAGACTAGGCTCGAAGGAAAGCTGTCTCGGGTGTGGACCAATCAACATCAAGGACAGTGCACATTATCAGAGTTATGTTCTTTTGTTTGTATTATGACTGCAGGTATTGCGGTCTATGCAAACATGACTCCTTGCAAAAAGGTGTCAGTTTTGTTGCCAGATAGAAGGGTAAAGAACCAATTATCATATTTTTACTGGCAAATGAGGTCCCCATAGTACAGTAATAGGGTTTTACCTTTTCAAATGGTACAAAAACTGACACCTTTATACGCCTTTTGGCGTCATCTGGTCCAACATCAATGGAGACCAGGCTCTAAGAAAAGTTGTCTCGGGTGTGGACTAATCAACTTCAAGGACAGTGTTTATTGTTGTTTGCATTTTGACTGCTTGTGTTGTGGTTATTGCAAATATGATCCCTTGTATAAAGGTGTCAGTTTTTGTACCAGTTTAAAGGGTAGAACCCTATTACTATAAGGTATAGCCATGTGAGCCATTCGGCTCTTGAATCGGGTGCAACCGCAACAAACAAAATATGACCAAGAAAACATCTTAAAGTGACTATGTGCAAACAGAAAATCCAAGAAAAGACAGCAAAATATTGCATAAAAAGCACCGTACACCAACACTGTGCAAACATGTCAGTGGGATAGTCAGGCGACTGATGTGAATTATAGATGCGTTGAGAGCCACTTGCATCGGGTACCGTGGCCTTGTATACAAGCCCGTACGCTTGCATCGACAGCCAGAGACTTGGACATTCTATAAACCTCATGCTCGCCCCATGGTGACCGCATGGGCTGACCCCATCCGGCATGGTCCAGCGTATCGTTTTTTCTTTTCCGTATGATTTTTCGGAGCCAAAAGTCCCACTGTTGTCTCATTTCACGTACATGTATGTACTTCTCGAGTCACATCCCCACTGTTGCATAGAAAACAAATTTTGCCAGTGCACTTTCTTCATAGCATGTGCTATGATGAAGGGGTATTATCCAAAACGTCACCTGTTACATTTAAAAAAATAATAATTAAGGCAGTATTATTGACAAATGTATTTAGTTACTTTGTATTTAGGTATCAGTTGACTTGCAGAGTGCATCTTAGTCTTAGACAATCGGTGCATTCAGGCCCATTCACATTCATTAGAGACACCTAGATGTGCATGGACATATTTACAGACCCATAAAACTAGATATAATTTAAAAGCGTTCATCAACGCACGTGATCTATAGACGTGCGTATACTTGGAAACACAGACTTGTAACTTAAGCTAAGCCTCGATTTAAAGCATTCGTGACTGCAGGGATTCATCTTGGTTCTTTCGGTAAAGTCACGTAGAAGGGAAATAATAAAATAATAAAATTAAAACATAAAATACAATTCTCACGACGTTTCAGCCACAACGCAAGTAGCCGTCCTCAGGTGAAGAACAGGTCTGTCGGAAAGACATTCTCATTCAGACGCTGTCTTTCCGACAGACCTGTTCTTCACCTGAGGATGGCTGCTTGTGTTGTGACCGAAACGTCGTGAGAATTGTATTTTATTATGTTTATTTTATTTTATTATTTCCCTTCTACATGACTTTACCGAAAGAACCAAGAAGACTAAGCCTTATGCTCGAAGCTTCCAGTTGCTGCCGCCTCTTTCCCTCCGGCTTCTGCGTCCCCTGAGCTTTACACAAGTCTCATTTTATTATCCATTATACGGATTTTGGGTTAGATCGCGTAAATATAAATGTGTCGCTAACTCATCTCCACCCGACACGGCCAATTATGATATTGCATGGGGTCTGCTGCTCGGTTGTGCTGTCTCCCGTGTACGTTACTGCCCTGGTATTTTATGTATGTTCCACTTGAGTCGCGGCCACTGATATCAGAGATCAATAGACTGCATACAGACCCATACACTTGCACGGACTTACATGGAGGCATTCCTCTAAGCCTCATGCTAACGCGGGGAGCTGCCAGAGGTACACACCTCGCTTGCTGTTCTCCTTCTGCATCTTCTTTTGAGCTTTGAAAAAGTTCCAATTGCATTGGTAGATTTTACTGAACATGCAAAGAAGGTGAACTGCAGTGTTGCCACGTTGAATCTTCTCCTAACTCATGCAGTGACGGATTAATTTTTTGAAGTGTGAGGTCTCGCCGTATGAAATGTACATCACGGGTGGCATGCGTCGCACACGCCGTGGGTTCGTTCTCAATCGTTCGTCTCCCACATTCATCAATCATGATCATAGGGTGGTGACGTGGCCGATCGGCAGTGCGTTGGCCACTTGTTTAAGAGGTTCACGGTTCACTTCCAGCCGTCGCCCTGATTAATACTGCGGGTGTAAACTATAATAATACGCACCAACTGCTTCACAGTGGACGTTAAAGGGCCCTTGACGTCATTTGCAAGCCTGCATCAATGGTCCACATTTTCCAAATACGAAAATTATGCGCAAATGTATCAATCGGGGATACATAGCAATCCGTTTCGTTTCTAGTCCTTCCCCACACCTCCGATTAACACGGTTGTTGATGCCATAGTAATTATAACAAATAAAATAAAGGTTGAAGAACTTAGCAATGGCTACACATTTTGAGATACAAATAATTAGGGGCAAAACTAAATTAGCCTACAATTAGTTTGTTTAACAAAAGGCAATAATTGTTGAAGGGATGTAAAAGGAAAATTCTAAAATATATACATCCAAGTCAGTTTTTGATTAATGGATTCATAATTGCATGTATAAATAATGACATGTAGCCTGCTATAGAGTTAAAAATTTTCATTTGTTTATAAACCATGGCAACCCATAGAGCTTCAGAGAACAAGCAAGGAAAATACAAAGTCAACGGGAGGAAAAAAGGGAAAATGTGGCAGGGAATAAAGTTAAGAACAAGATATAAAAGAACAACGAGTGAAAGACATCACAAACCCAGGGATTAACAACAATAATCACACTAGGGGAACAGACACCCATTGAGAAACAGCTTATTGATCTGACACATGGGCATCTATTAAGAATTTGTAACTAAAAGTACATAGAGGCATAGAAAGGTGTATGTAAGTGATAAAGGTACATACGGGTGTGAGAAAAAATGCAAACCAGAGATCTATTGACTCTTAAAATAGTTAATTGGCTTGAAGGACATTGATAGATTGGATGATAGAATGTCTGCAAAAAAAAGGAATATAGAGGATGACTACCACGGAGATGGGGCAATTATATTAGGTCAAGCACAGGAAGATAAAACAATGGGGTTGGCCACGACATGAGATGGCCTTCATCTAACAATTGACAGACACTTACTGTTGATAATGGTAACCAGGAACACTTTGTGTCATCCTTGAATTTAACAATTATCAATAAAAAATATAAAAAGTGTCATGGCAGCCTTTAAAATACCTGCCATCGCTCGACTTTCATGCCCGTGTTGTCCGTGTAACTTATGGCAATAGTACATTTGGTCACGCTTTGAAATTGGTTCCAGCATTGGACAATAATTGCTAGCTGCACATTTTGTCACCACCACCCACAGCCCTCTATTTCTGTCCTTATAACAATGCCAGCTGTGAGATCCATCACCCATCAAAACACATGCCCGTAACATTCGATGTTCTCGCGTCCAGTGGTGAGCAATTGCTCTCCAGGTCTCTATATAACAACTGTCAGAAATGCTATGTCTCTGGAGAAACTGCTTTGGCAAAAGTCAATCTCTTTCCTTGTTATGTCAACAACCAATTAAAGTCACCTTTTAAAGTAACTTTCAGCAGCAGCCATAGATATGCACATGTTATAACTGCCAGCAGTCTCCAATGTTATCCATTCAAAAACAACTCCAACCCTTCATGTCATCTTGCCTAACTGCTATGGACATCACTGTTTCTAATATAATAAGCACCAGTAAACTTCCATGTCCTTCAATACTGCCACTATCAACATCCCTACATATGTAACTACATGAACAGTCTCCCATGTTGTACCATCAATTGTATCAATTAGCACAACTCTCTAATTTCCTCACATGTAACAGCATGCAAGAAGCTTCCTGCATGCCATCCGTTAACAGCACCAACATACACAATGTCTCACATTGCAACAACTGCCGTACCAACACAATTCCATGGCTCCATTTAGCTGTCTCGCAAGTCTTTGTGTCTCTAGATATAACATCTCGCATCATCCATCCAATATACCCATTGAAACAAATGCCAGTAATCCATCCAACAGGGTTCATCGTCAAAATGATAACATTCATACAACTTGTCAGTAATTGTAGATTGAAACACCTTTTTTTTTTACTAATTTTCAGTCACATTTAATATATACTAGCGGGAAGTACCCGGCGCTGCCCGGGTTAAAAAAATATTTCAAACCTACTCTAAAACATCTAACAGCAGTGCATACTGACTGTGGTGGTACCTGCTATGATTACAGCAGTGCATACCGACTGTGGTGGTACCTGCTATAACTACAGTAGTACATGCTGACTCTATAGCAGTATTGATCGATTCTATAGCACAAAGTACTCACATGACAGTGGCGTGGTGAGGCCTAGTCCCGTGCAGAGCCTCCGGCCTCGCTTAGATTGTCCAGCCGGCCGAGGTGGCACCTTGGCAGGCTGGGGCTGGGCTGCTACCCCTGACCCCCTCCCCCAGCCACGATCTCCCCGGCCACTCTGCAGTAATATCTACAGCCTCTAGTGGTAGCATCTAGCGACTGTATAGTAGTAATAACTGCACGCATCGGGGTGGGAGGGACATCACACAGTGAAGAATTAGCGTCGGTGTTTAGTGTATTTTTAATACATTTTTAACGCGAAAGAAAATGTCCCCCTCACTCCCAACGAAAGCGTGCGACTTGACATGGGCCGTCCCCCCCACCAAAGGCACGTGAGTTGGTATGGTCATGCATGCGTCATAAAATAATAAAAGTAAAGCGCACACTAATCGCACTAAATTGCTAATTAAACTAATTTTAAAGTTGACGGATGTGACAAAGGAATAGCGCTCGCTCACCGCGGGGCTTACGGCGTGGAGAGGCAAATCGTTCGCAAGCGCGCGAACACACACAAAGCCATAAACAAACCCACAAACAGACAATTTTTTTCTTTTTATATATATATTCAACACAACAGATACAAGAAAGTACAGAACCAGGGTACACCGTGTCCAAACATTTTCCATAACCATGTAACAGTATAGGTGCCCTTCATTGTGATCTGGAAAACAAAAGGGGAACAAGAGGAAGGAAAGAGAAAGGGAAAAATAGGAAAAGATAGAGAAGAGAATAATGATGGGCAGTAAAGCATATAATGGGGTGAGTGGGTCAAGCTGGAAATTATTCAATAAAAGGAGACAATCCTCCTGTACATCATGAGTGGTTACCCTTTTTTTATTTCGATGCAGAGGCCACTGCTTTTGTCTCGTGTAAGAGCAGCGTATGTGAATTCACAGGCGTTCTTCAAGTTCCAGCGGTTGGCTGACAAGGACCACAAGCGGCGGTTGCAGAGTCTGCAGGAGAAGCTGGACCACAAGCTGGAGGTGGAGGCCGTGCATGAGGTCGAGGTGTCGGGCGACCTGTCGGACATGGTCGCACATGTGGAGGAGGTGGAGATCGTATCGGAGGAACCTGGCTCCCAGGTGCGATGCACTCATCTTAAGAGCATAGCTGAAGAATGTGTTGGGTTTTCTTTTTGCAGGTACACGTGTTCGTCAATTTCCACAACTGGCTTAGAGCTGCCAATAGAGATACAATACAAAAAATATATATCCATTATTCAAAGCATACCTTGTATTTTTTCACGGTTGTCCTGTATAGTGCTACGATGGATTTTTGGCTTGTATTGTGTTGGGTACGATGTCTGATCGTTGTTAATACAACCTTGTACAAACAAGTTCGGGGGTGTGCAGCAAGGAAAATGTTTTTTTCAGAGGGGAGGAGAGTAGAGGTGTGAAGGATACAGGCCTGAGAGGAAAAGAAGGCCTTTCATGAGCACGTAAACCATCGCAGGCAAAGTATAAGAGATGTACACTGCCCCATCCTTATTTCTAAGCAAGGAGGCACTTTAGCCCTAAGTTTAAATTTTACAGGTACAAATTACTGTATTATAAAAACAAACTAACTTTTAATATTCTGAGTAGTAGCATTTCTAGATATTTGAGGTTGTGTTTTCCTAAACACCTCTTTGGTAGTTTATTAGATTACATTCGTTGTATGTTTGGTAAATATTGACAATTACAGGCATAAAAGGTGTGTTTGTGAATGTTGTGTTCAGAATGTTATATCGTTGTTTATACAAATGTCATGCTAACAAATGCACAGTGTAAGTCTAGCATTACATCATGATAATTGGAATGGGTCAATTCGAGAAGTGGCATGTGGATGAGCTTGAGGACATTTTGTAAGTTGAGATTCAGATACTGACACCATGCTGAAAAAAGATATTAGTATACTTGATGAAGGCCTGCAATCCAGCTTTGTGGAGAAGAGGTTTGGCGTTTCACACATGTTGTGAAACTCCCTTCCCATGGGTGTCCTTGTGCTATAGCCTGGGTTGCCAGGAAAAGGCGGTGTAACAAACAACTGTATCTGTATGGGTTAGCGTAGCTCCCTCGCACAAAAGGGTTTTCTCCGGGTGCTCCGGTTTCCCCCAACATATAAATACTCATTAATTGGCTGAAAACATCTTAATACAGGATTGCAGAGCTTGGACAATTACCGGCTTACCACCTGGCTGCCTTCCCGTTTGTCTGTGGTTCCTCGCGCCTCTAAGTTGTCTCTCTCTTTCAGAGTGAACGAATATTGTGTGGCGCATTACAAGTTGAAATTATTATTAATTAGATTACATGCTTATTAAATTATTATTATTCCTGTCATGGATCGTAGCATTCCCAGGAAGCAGATGGCGATCAAGCATTAGATGTCGGAGCAGAGCTGCCAGAAGCTGCCATGCACTCGGAGGCTGGAAATCCTCCGTGCCATCCAGTGAGTGCCGCGCTGACACCTGTGGAGGCTGAGAAGACGGAAAAGGCTGAGAAGACGGATAAGGCACTGGAAAAGAAAGCTCAGCTCTCCTTCCAAGACAGCCCCGACAGCTACAATGGAGCTGTACGGGAAAATTACGTCTGGTCGCAGGACTTCACCGACCTGGAGATAAAGGTGTTTGTGCCGAAAACTGTTGTCAGGGGCAAACAGGTGAGAATGCGGGGTAAGAATTTTTTTTACAAAGATTTATGTTCATGGCCAAGCTAAGTGAATTCTGGCTATTCAACATTAACCTAAAATAAAGAATTTTCTCTAAACTGGTTACCCAGCCAGTTCATCAATGTAATTGTCCAAATAGGTGTAATTAACCCTGTATTTTTGATATTTGTTTACCCCTTTCTCCAAATGTAAATGCGAATCATTGTATTGCATTGCTCCTTTACAGTGAAATTATTTTCGAAAAGGGGAACATTTTGTACAGTAATATCTTTGTCCTTTAGGTTTCGATTGACATTCAAAAGAACTCGCTGCGTGTGGCCATCCGGGAACAAGCAGAAGAGGTGGTGCTGATGGAGGGGAAATTAACACACAACATCAATATAGAAAGCTCCATGTGGAGTCTGGAGCCGGGAAAATGCATACAGGTATCTTGCACGCACACAACAATGGCAATCAGCAAGGCATTGTTGCAAGTTTACTGAACAACCATAGTCTGAACTAGGTGATATCGGGTATGTGGAAACTGTGATGTGTTCGATCTGTATTCATCAATATAAGTATTTATTTGCATAAAATTCTTCCCATTTAAATTTTCTGTCGCAAATTGCCAATCGTCCACCTTTTTCCTTCGTGTAGAAGTGGATAGAGCATGGCTGATGATGATGAATTATGAATCATGCATAATCTTTTAACTCTGAACCTGCCTCGAGGCTTATAATAGTCCACTGTGGTAAAGTTAATGCTTATTAGTTGACGGAGCCTTTGACAAAATGTCCCGGAATGCGCTCTTAGAAGTGAAGCAGAGTTGAGTGGATCGTGTTTGGATGGGTGATCACCATGCACTAACAAGTTGCCATTGGGCTCGTGGTGACATGGTTGTCAGCAGGGTACAGCAAAAAAATGTTTTATTGCCTTGGCTCTTATGCTGCCACATCTGTATGTACGTTGAACATCTTTCGTACCGATTATAGCCAACTGTGCTAATCAGAGCTGCGGGGGAAGCCAACCGTGGTAATCGGAAGTGTGGGGGACTTTATGCTCCCCATCTTCACTAACTCACATCGACTAGCGTGGTGAAGTGTGGTTAAATAGCCCCAACTATCTGTACAACAGTGGGGAGGCCATCATCCATCAGTGGATTGACAAGGGGACTGTACATATTCACTGCATTTTTACATTGGGAATGCGACACTGCTGGCCTTTCCTATGTGTACGATGCCACGAAGTCTGGCGATGTGTCCTCCAGAGCAGCCAAAGGATTGTTTTGAGCGGTCGGTGTCCACGCTCATGTGCAGGTGAACCTGAGCAAAGTGGGTGAGTATTGGTGGAACGCAGTGCTGGAGGGTGAGGAGCCAATAGACATCGACCGCATTAACAAGGAGCGCTCCATGGCAACGGTGGACGAGGAGGAGCACGCCGTGCTGGACCGCCTCACCTTCGACTACCATCAGAAAATGCACGGGAGGCCACAGAGCCATGAGATGGTACGACCTCGGCTTTCCTTCTTGAACATTGTTCACCTGGTGGAGTGAAATCCTGTGCTTATCAGCTGCACCTGCTCGCGTATTTTGGTTTTGTTTAAAATAAATTGGACGAAGCAAGGAAGAAATATCTCGCATAGCCATTGAGTTTGTAACGCTTCCCAGCATGCGTTTATGTCGGCAGTATTAGTGACGATGTCATTATGTTCCGAACTGCATGTGGAGATGTCGTTTTATCCATATTGACGTCTTTGAACAGTGCGGCGCTTGCGACGTAGAAATATAACATCGCACGCAATGACATAATCATTTTAGATTTGAAGTTGTCGTGACTGCAAGGATCCATACTCTTTGGTTCTTTTGGTAAAGTCACGTAGGTAAAAAAATTAAATTAAATCAGGACGTTTTGGATGCAACACAAGCATCTGTCACCAGGTGGGACAACCACCAGATGTTACATTTATGTGACGTTTTAGGATCTGGTTCTAGAAATCCTTTGACTGCCCTTTGAATATAGTTTTGTTTATATAATGGAAAAAAATTGCTAAAAATTGGGCTGGTTTAAATATGAATAATATTAATAACACAAACTCCATCTGGTAGTGTATTCCATGTTGGCAAAGACACCTTTTAGACGACAGCATCACCATTCTAGAAATATTCTGTGAACTTGTTACCACCATCTGCTGTACCTAATTAATGCATTCTCTCTATCTCTCTCTCCCTCCCAGAAAGTGCATGAGATGCTGAAAAAGGGCTGGGATGCAGAAGGCTCTCCCTTCAAAGGCCAAAAGTTCGAGCCAGGAATGTTCAATGTCCCCCCCGATGCCGTGCAGTTCTGAACATGGGCAAGCACAAGACCCGTGCCACAGCGGCGGATATGGCGGCACTTCATGCCCATTGAAGCCAGCATAGACACTTGGACCTGAGGGTGGACACACGGGAGCCTAAGGTGGACAGATGGAGCCAAGGGTGGACTTGGTTGCCTATTTGATATTTTAGGTGGCGTGGGCTAGCAAAAACTCAATGAAACGACCCTTCTTCAAGAGATGTTGGCTGCCATTTGGATGTATGGCGTACGTTACAAAATAGGAATATAGTTAATTAAATGCCGCTGATGTTTAGCTCAATTTCCTGTGAATATGAAATATGCTGCAGATCGTTTCTTTATCTTGATGTTCGTGTAAAAAACAACGTTTTAAATCGATGTATATGGGAGAATAGATTTGTGGTAACAAAAAATGTAGAGGGACATGATGGGGGTGATTAACGATACTGTGGTTAGTGCACTGCATTATCAATCCGGCAACTTGAGTCAATTTACTGGGCACAGCTAACATCGGTGCTGAGTGATATCTGAACAGGTCATGGGCCCCTGCTCAACAACCAGCACTGACCAATATAGTGAAGTTTGTTTGGTCTAACATCTCCCATGATTGACATGGCATGGGAGTCCTTGATCCATCAGTGAATTGATGAAGTGCTTGGTGTTATAGAGTATTTTTTTAAACCAATAGGAATTATCATCCTGTGTAACGTAACCAGATTGACATTGGCAGTTTATTCGTTTGTCTTTCGATTCCAGTGCAAATCCTACCATTTTTGCATCTTCAACTGAAACGCAGAATGTTCTCTGACAGAGTTTGTCCCACATTTCACATTCATGTTGTGTTGGGGAGACCAGGCACGTCCCTCCCAAATGCTTCTCTGCAACATTGTACGTGACACAACTTGAAACGTACAGCTTAACATCCCTTCCTCCACTTTTGTGGCGCTTCATTGTCTGAGGCTCTCCTGGGAGAGATGTGTGGGAGAGGCAGCATATTAGCTGCCTTATTTCGTAGCTTGAGTGAGGAAAATGCTTTGGATTTCAGTCACCGGTAAGGTTGTACTGCATGCAATGGAAGGAAACTGGAAAAAAAACTACTAATTTTGAGTGTGGCCCTAGGTTTATGGTTTTATTCATCAGCTATATGAGTGAGTGGGCTTTGGTTGTGTTGTATCTGTGAGCCGAAGTTACTCATAAATGTTTTTTCGTGCATGTGGGTAAGTACCTGCATTAAAAAAAGTTGTATGTTTTTTATTAAACATGCTCATCAGAATATGGGGTTAGGTTTTAATAGTAAAATTAAATTGGTGATAGAATACATAATTGTCAATGTTTTATAGGGAAAAAGCTGATGCTTGCACCGAAAATAATATATTTGATAAACAAAAACAATTGCGAAAAAACGGTTTCAAAAGGATCACCATGGCCAGCATAAACCAGTGGATAAATAGGAAAACTTGATTTGTAACCTCCAGGGAAGAGAAGCAGAGGAAAGGGAAGGAAGAGAGTGGTTGTAGGCAACCATGCTGGAGAACAGAAAATGATTATTTCTCCTGTGTCAGGTAATTTTACACCGTTTAAATTTTTTATAAGCCATTTTCCACCAGACCTAAATGCTAATGTAGCGATGAAACAGCTCTATATAAACGGAATGGCGCTGTTATAAATTCTAATTGGCCAAAGGTTTTCACTCATGGCATAATTCATGATTTTAGTTTTCGAAAAAGGTGAGGTATCTTAGATTATTGTAACATCCTTACAAAGAGAAATACACAGATTATGTGGGGTTTCTGTTTGCTCCACTCATCTTTATTTTCCCGGAAACAACTGAAATAAAAATGTGTTGCGTCTAAACCCACCAGATCTTACGATGCTTTCCAAAAGCATGGGAAGAAGGTGGCGGGTGGGTGAATGAAGTTTAAGTTTCAAGTTTATTTTGTTCAAGTAGGTAAAAACTCAAGAAACCAGGTTAGTCTCATTTGCAAGCGTCACCTGGGTCACCAAAACGACAAAAGCTAAATAATCTCATTAAGAATAAAAAATATTGCAGACGTATAGCAATGATAAATCAAAGCTAAATATGAAATAAACCGCAGCTCAAATCGACTCGGATTATCTCAAGGATTGGAGGGGGGTGGGGGTCAAGGCAAGTAACCATGGGAGAGAGTCGAGATGTCAACGCCACGACATAGCCCGGGGTCGAGCAAACGCAGCAACCACATGGGCAGCCAGGGCAGCTTCAGAAAATGCGGAGACCCATGATCATTGAGTCTGCATGGACCGCGTGTACCATGAACAATGGGTAATGGGGGCGGTCTGCCTAGAATCGATAGCCCTTGAGCATTAGCCCAAGAATAACAACTTTACCACCCACGGTGGCAAATGATTTTATTGAAGCATATCTCTAGATCACAAATACATGGCAAGGTCGCCGTGGTAGCAGTTTATGAGAACAATTTCGTTGAAGTGAATCCCATTATATTTCACTACCAATTTGGGAATACAGTCATGTAATACAACACTTCTACGGAATATGGAAATAAATTGGAAGTTTGCGTTTATAAAACCGATGGGACACGCCAAGGGTTCTGCTCGTGTTGAATAACGTCACGGGAAGACATCTCGCAGCACTAAAATAGGAAATAATTACACGTAAATGCATTTAATTGAGTCGTGTATTTTTAAGCAGCTCACTCAAAACCGAGACTTAATGTCCCTGGAAAATGCACGATTCCCAGAACAGCTACCTCGTGAAGAGGAAGATCCGGGACAGGTTGGGAGGCCTCGTTGAGGAGCGACCACACGCCGTATGGACCTGGACACTCAATCTCCCTGTACAAGAATACGGCTAAACCGTTTGAGTTGACAGGTTTGTAATGTTCTTGGTTCTTTCGGTAAAGTCACGTAGAATGGAAATAGTAAAAATTAAACGTAATAAAATTACTTTATTATTACATAATAAAATAATAAAAATAAAGCATAATAAAATAATTTTATGTAATAATAAAATAAATTGATTATGTTATAATAAAATAATTTTATTATGTTTTTTTTTATTACTTTGTTATTTCCATTCTACGTGACTTTACCGAAAGAACCAAGAAGATGAATCCCTGCAGTCACGAAAGCTTTAAATCGAAAGGTATGTAATAGTGATTAGTGCCCTCGTGAATTGTGACCGTCCTTGCCTCCCTCCAAATATCCCTTTTATGCAATCGGTGCTTTAGCACCTCACATCTTATTTTCATAATCAATACAGTTCAGTTTCGGTACAAGTGTTCCAGTTGTGTGGATTAGTCTTATGCAAAAGATTGTAGAAGAAAAACCTTCACAGTTTCACTGCTTTTTAGTGTCTTGTGTGAATGACCCCTTTTGCGGAGTTTGAATACAATTATTATTTTGCATTCGTGAGATGTTTTTTTTCTAAATTCCATGAATAACTTTAGTGGAATCCTCTAAAGTGTTTGACTGCAATACATGGTAAAAGGTTGAACAAGAGAAAGTGAATCTAATAGTTATTGAAATTGCGTAAGATTCACTTTCTAGTGGCTATAACAAATACTTAGCATAAATAGGCTGATTGCTATCGAGGCTACTTTATCAAGTTCGCATCTCGGATATCCACTAGAGATTTGCAAAACTGCAACCGTCAAAGGCTGTGGGTTGGACAGGATTAGAGTCGGAGGGTGCCGACATTTCACATTAGAAGACGCCCACGAGGGAGGTGCAAAACAAGCCGTTTTGGGTAATGTGCTTCATCAGGGAAGCCATTTCACCGTCACTACGATACCATATTAATCGCAATTACATCTAGTTATTCCTGTGGGGGTAATGGTTAGTACACGGCGCTTGAATTTAGAGGTTGCTGGCTTCATCTCTCAGCGTGACAGCTGAAACAATGAAGCAGGTTTTTACCCCCCCCCCCCTACACCTCTGTTCACTCAGTATAAATGTGTGGTAGGACAAAGTGTGGATACTCCCAAACTCATGGCCATCATGGAAGAGTAGGCCAACATACCCCCTATAGGGCTTGTCGTGGAGGGAGGCTTTTCTGTCGGTGATGTGGGCAAGAATTGCAGGGCAGCTCCTTTACCATATTATTGTGAATCTGTAAATGAAGGACAAACATGGTTGTTTTTTTAATGCAATTCTCGTTGCCGTCTTCATCTTTTGTTTTGCTTCTCTGGTATATTTACTCTCGCTGTCTGCTATTCGTGTGCTCTCTCTACGAGTACTCTTTCTGTTCACTGCCCTGTGTTCTATTTTCACTGCTCTCTCCTCTCACAGTGGTCTAACACTGCTACTTTTCTGCTGGATAGCTAGTTACGGCTTACTATTTTAGCTTAAAATTACACCTGAACACCGTGGTCTGTCAGCCAGCTTATGGCTTTTCATGATTTAAATTGCAGCTTGACTTGATGCTTTGAAACATTATTTTAAGATTTGCAAGCCATAAATGAAGATTTGAATTTGGATTAGGGGGGCATGCCCTTTGCGGTAGCAACACAGTTGGCGGATCACAAACTTCCTTTCGCTTCCACTGACAGAACTGTGAAACACATTGAGTTTGCGTTCACCTCATGGATATCAGGGCAATTAAAATGTTTTAACCAGTATTTGGTGTCGCACAAACCCAAATAACATCAGACATGAGAGTTGCACCCATTGTCGATATTTCATCTGATACATATGCAAGAGTAGGGGCGTTTGTTTTTGTGTGTGCATGTAATAAAACCAATAAAACATGTCAACATAAAGAGATACATTGCGTTTCAACTGATGTTTCTGTGTTCCGTTTTTTATTTGGTGTAAACTATGCTAACAATAAACAGAGATTCATTTTGGCATGTAATTATTGCTACCAGTGGTTACCAGATACCTACAATGTTTAATGCAGCAATCCTCCGTTATTCTTATTGACCTACATTTTAGCTTCGTCTCAAAAAATATATTTTCTGGAAAAAAACTTTTTTCCCGTCATACGTAATCCTGCCACTTACTCTTAATCATTCATATAAAAGTGCATCTTCATTATGAAATAATACGCTGCCAAGCTTAGCAGTGTTCATTGGAGTGCTGTCTTTCCGACAGCTCTGTTTCTTCACCTGAGGACGGCTGCTTGTGTTGTGGCCGAAACGTCGTGAGAAATTTTATTATGTTGTATTTTTATTATTTTATTATTTCCGTTCTACGTAACTTTACCGAAAGAACCAAGAAAATTAATCCCTGCAGTCACGAAAGCTTTAAATATAAACTTAGGCAGGTATTTATTACAATTTTTCTCGCTGGAATATAGGAAACAAATTAATAGTTTCGTGATGTCTTTATTGCAGCTTCACAGCCTTTGTGAAAATTATATACGTCACATTCATCTGCCGTCTTTGTTACAAAGCAATTACTCATTCAAAGTGAGCAAAGTATTATGCATGCGGTGATGTGCAGCTCCATAGTCTACCTTGTCGTGGTCATTCTTGTTTTAATTGGTGTTGTTAGAATGGTTAATTTGAGGGACTGAAAGAGAACAGAAATTGTGTAGGTGGGGTTGGTCTAATTGGCTAGGTCAGCTTGTGTTCTCCACTTTTACCATTTATAGCTTTACAAAAGACAGTATGTCTCTTTATTTTGACCGAGGCTTAGAGGCTACAGTGAGGAGATGTAATTGTGTTTCTTATGACCATAACACACCGATTAGTTGTATTCCAGCATCATAGCCCGGAGAGTGCACAAAGCAACGGAACATGTGCAATGCCTCCTACTTAAAATGTAATTATATGTACATGTACGGAAAATTTATAACGTGTGAAATATTGTGGAGCGGTGGGGCGCACCGTTGTTGCTATTCGCAGCCACATTTTACATAATTGAGAGCAGGTCCAACTACCCCCTCCATCTGGCGCACCTCCGACAGCCCACCCACACCCCCTCTCATTCACCAAAATGCGTTAAGCTGCGTACTGAAGTATGCTCAAACAATCTCTATCACTACCACAGGGGGGTGAAGGCCTTCACCCAGCAGTGGATTGATACAGGGAGGAACAACAGTTCCGACACTGTCCTCCAGGGATTATTTGTCTGTCGTGCATAGCCCCTCCCAAACATGTAGCACGCTCCCGGATTGGTTGAAGTGCATCACGTGACCGCGAGCTCTCTGTCATGCACGAATGCGCTGTCCAACCAAGTTCCTACCTGCCCACTCCGAAGGAACGTGTTAATTAATTGTTCATTCGTTTCTCAATCCGCTTGTCCTGGAGAAGGTCGTTGCAAAAACATATTGAGTAGGGCGATACAGACCTCCCTTTCCCTGGCGACGGACTCTAGCTCTTCCTGGGGAATTCCCAGGCCAGCCGAGAGACATAGTCCTGCCAGCGTGTCCCGGGCCAGCCTCGGGGTCTTCGCCCAGTGGGATGTGCTTGGTAGAGTTCCAGAGGAAGTCTACCGGGGGAAATCATTACCAGGTGCCTGAACCACCTCAACTGGCGGCTCTCGATTCGGAGGAGCAGTAGATCGACTCTGAGGCTCTCCCAGATTACCGAGCTCCTCACCCGATCACAGAGAATGAGCCCTGCAACCCTGCGGAGAAACCTATTTTCAGCCCCTTGTACCCGCGATCTCATTCTCTCGGTCATTACCAAAAGCTCATGACCATAGGTGGTGATGGGAACGTAGATTGACATGTAAACGAAAGCTTTGTTCGAGAACTCAGCTCCCGTTTCACTACCACGGAACTCTACAGCGCCCGCATCACTGCAAACGCCACACCGATCCGCCGGCCGATCTCCCGCTCCCACTTACCATCACTCGCGAAAGAGACTCCGAGGTACTGAAACTCCTCCACTAGGGGCAGCTGTTCCCCCCTCACCTGGAGAGCACAATCCATCATCTCCCGGGAGTGAACCTTGACCTCAGATTTGGAGGTGCTGATCCTCATCCCAGCCGCTTCAAACCGTCCAAGTGCACGCTGGAGGCAACAGATTTATGAGACAAAGAGGACAACATCATCTGCAAAAATTAACCCGTAAAAACTAAGTTTTTCACTTTAAATCCTCTATATGCGTGGCGGCTAGAGTCCTCTCGTCCTCTGGCTTGAGATGGCTGCCACCTATGGGTCAGATGATTGTCTGCCAGCATTAAGCAATTGGTAATTAAATATTTTAAAAAAATCCCTAAACAGTGTAAAATTTTGGAAAAAAATGTTCACGAAAATAAATTGTCACGCACAACGAGTCTGTGTGGAAAATGTCAGCTCGATTGGATCACGGGAAGTGGGTTAAAAAACGACCGAAATGTTTGCACGGTCGTAAGCAAGCAAGCAAGCACGCAAGCAAGCAAGCGAACTTAATATAAAGGATTTAAAAAGCAGTGGTGCCACTTCCATGCCCCGGTACTGGATGATCTCCATACCTCGCCTGCGCCTTGATATCCTGTCTATGAAAATCACAAACAGGAGTGGAGACAAGATGCACCCAGAGTGAACGACTTTGATTTTACACCAAGAATACGGACGCAGCTCTCACTCCAAGAATAGAGGGACCGGATAGCACACATATGTGACATCGGTGCATCATACTCCCACAGCAGTTCCCACAAGGTATTCCAGGGAACACGGTCATATACCTTCTCCAAGTCTATACAAAGCAGAGGTAGAGTGGAGAAGCATGCTCCCATGACCCCTCAAATATCTGTGAGAGGGAAAAGAGCTGGTCCATTGTCCCACGACCCTGAATCTGAGGCCACCGGGCGCAGCCTCTTCTCCAGCCCTCTGGCAAAACCCTTGAACCAACGTTGGTTGGGGTGGCGGGAGGGGGGGCATTAGCATTCAACGTTACATGTTTACTGAGTACATGGCTCGGTCCTACAAGGTCACAGCAAACCTGCACATTAAAGCTTGTTTGTCTATGGGGCTCTTACAATTATTACGCATGTTCCAACGCAATAAATAAAGAGGCCAGTTGCTAATGTTGCGACTGCTGCTTATGCATTCAGCTCACTGACGGCCTAACAGGATGTGAAGGGAGCAAATGCAAGTTGAAGTGAAACCGCTGAGTCAATATTAATTAGGCTGGTGAAATTCGGCTTATAGCGGATTTAACGAATCGGCAACTCTAAGCTCGTCGCGTTCATGCATGCAGAAGCGGCTCTGCGTGCTCGTGAGAGTGACGCGTCAAGTCGTGCTCTAAATATGCACGAGATCATTTTGAGGCTTTTTTTTGGATGCTGCAAACTCACGTGTCTCATTTCCTCATCTCGCTCCAGTGTGGTTACCATTTGCCCAATGCAACGCGGTGTGATATTGAATGTGTAAGTGGAGACGTTACGTATTTCCTTGCATTAAAACACATGAAGAGATAATCCTTGTTAATACTGGTAGGAACCTCCTGGTTACACCAGCCCACAGGGGATTATTGTGTCCGTCGTGCAGGGAGGGGTTGGGTGGGGAGGGAGGGGCTGGGCGGGGAGGGAAGGGTGGGGTGGGGTGGGGTGGGGCTGGGTGGGGATGGGAGGGTGGGGAGCATTATTCTTTGGTTTTTTCGGTAAAGTCACGTATAAAGATAAAATAATAAATTAAATAATAGCATACGACGTTTCGATTGCAACACAAGCAATCATCATCAGGTATAGTGAAATAGCGACATAAAATCTAACCAGAAAACTATAGACAGACATATAAGCAGACAGATATCACCAAGATACATAGATCTAGCAACACAGGTACAGAGAGGGGTGATCGTCTCTGTGGGGTGGCCTTAAATAGACAGAGGGGGGCGGAGGCAGAGAAAAGGAGGGGGTTAGAGAAAAAAATGTACATGTCAATGAGTACGAAGGCTTAGAGGGAGAAAGAACACACTAAATTAAATAACCTAGCAAAGTATCGAAATGTTATGTAAAACGACACAGAGAGTAGGTCAACCCACAAGTAACGCATAGCCTAGTCGATTACGCATTTAAAAGATTGCTAAGTTAGAATTTAAGTGTGAAAATTCCAAAGAAAGACAGAGACGATCACCCCTCTCTGTACCTGTGTTGCTCGATCTATGTATATTGGTGATATCTGTCTGCTTATATGTCTGTCTATAGTTTTCTGGTTAGATTTTATGTCGCTATTTCACTATACCTGATGATGATTGCTTGTGTTGCAATCGAAACGTCGTATGCTATTATTTAATTTATTATTTTATCTTTATACGTGACTTTACCGAAAAAAACAAAGAATAATTCCTGCAGTCACGAAAGCTCCAAAATTAAGATAGGGTGGGGAGGAGCTGGGTGGGGAGGGTGGGGCTGGGTGGGGATGGGAGGGTGGGGAGGGGCTGGGTGGGGAGGGTGGGGCTGGGTGGGGGGTGGGAGGAGTGGGGCTGGGTGGGGGGTGGGAGGGGTAGGGCTGGGTGGGGAGGGGCTGGTCACCCCGTGGTGCCCTTATAAAATTCAACGTTTAACCTATTCACTCCGGCTTGTGCCCGCCCTCAGTCGGCCATATTTGCGGAATACACCACGCCGCCGTTGACCTTGGCCATTGACGGAGCAACCCAATGTTCCTACCAGCTCCCTCCCCAGGAATGTGTTTGTCATATGCGTACATGGAACACATACACCTTCATAGCGGCTGGTGGAGCAGTGTTGGCACTGAGAAGGTGGAGAAGATGGGGGCATTTGCTTTGCGCTTTGCCATCGGGCTGTCTCACTGTTCTAATAAAATTAAACTCAACGTATACTCGTCAACAACACTCCCTTAATGGAGAATAAATGTATATTATTGGCGACGTTTCG